CTTTTTTATTTGATTTGAAAGTAATAGCTGGTGCAATAGGATGGTAACACAATTCGCTACAAATGAAGGTGTAGATCTTGAATAAGGTGGTGGTAACAATAGTGTTTCTTGCACCAAGCACACATTAGAAGAGTCCGATCTTCGCAATCAGATATCAAACAATAGAGGTCATGAAATTTGAAACAAGCATCCTTCGGTTTTTTAATCTCTCCAGTGGTTCCATTTATTATTTTTGCATTAATAAAACCTGACTTGATCAGGTTCTGGAACGCTAGAGCACATAACTGGTTATGAACGAAGGAATGAAGGTTGATGAAATACTGTCGATCACTCATGCCAATCTCTATTCGATTAATATATGTATAATGTTCGATTTTCTCATGAAAAAATCTTCATGAACGAAACAGAGATAAATCTAGTGGTGGTATGTGACCAGTTGATCCATTAACAAGCTATTTTTTTGATCCGGAAATACTGCTCTAAACTTATCTAGACTAGTTTGAGTTCCCCAAGAATCAAGTATAAGAAGAAATTTCTTTTTAACACAAGGACGCAGCACCACCTTCAAGAAAACATGATGCTTTCTATTACTACTTTTTCCAGATGTAGATGCTCTCACCACCACATTAGGTGGTACGATTAGATTCTTCTGAACTCTTTTACCAAAGTCATTGTGTTTTTCTTGAAGGATTAGTAGAAACTTATCTAATAGATGGCCATCAGCTGAGCAAATAGCCTGCACCGTATATGAGTGAGTGATATTGTACTTCTTTTTCACAGCCACTACTGTTGTTCGTTCACCCGTGCAAGAGAGAGTTCGTAGTGCAACATACTTTTGTTGAAAAGAACAATGATCACTGTTCAGAATTTCGTCAGGAGCGTATTTCACCAGTAATGACCGATTATTTTCAATCCAGCCATGAGCATCTAGGATACATTAAATGATAAAAAGCACAATATCCCCTGATAAAACTCGAATACCTTCCAAAGAACACGTCTTTCTGGCCGTTGTCATTCAACTGACCAATTTGTTGTATCATCTTGACGATATTCGATTTTCCTTTTTGAATTTTGTAATGAATGATTCACTTGCCAGAAAACTATCCCATCCTAAATCTTTTACTGTTTGCATTGCAAATAGTTGTAGATCAGCATCGCGAACTACCTCATTTTCGACAGTTCTTTTTAGATGAAACTCGTTCAAGATAAATTCTTTAATTTTGTTCAATTTTTCCAATCTGGTGTCGTTTTGAGCAATATACTTCCTGAATCTCTCGATGACGCCATCGATTTAACCTTCCGAATTCGATTCGTGATACTTGCCATTGTGTAATTTGGGTGCTGATCCACCCAGTCGACGATGATTTCCATCTCGTCTAATTTGAAGTGATCCTGGACATCCTGATCGTGATTCTCATCATATTCGTCCGTCTCATCACCATTCTCTCCTTCATCAGTCATCCCATCAAACTCATCATCGAATTCAAGGGTGTGATAAGAATATAGCTCGTTCAAATAACTGTCCTTAAAGGCCTTCAGAACTTCAAATAATTTCTCTGAAGCAGCTATCTCGTCAACAGCCGTTATTGTTTCCTCTTCAGAACCAAACTCGTGTCTCGCCAAACAAACAAGATGCTTTGCAATGTTGAGAAGATTCATTATCTGATCAAGAAACTGATCTTTATATAACTAACACGTGCAATACGAAATGTTTAAATAGAATGAAGACGAAGAATCCCGCTGCAAAGTTGAATTTGATTAAGACTACGTAAAACCAATAGAAAATTAACAACAAGTTGACTAGAAAGCAATGCATCAATGCATTTAAGTGTAATATATAACCAATCGCCTGCCAGAAGCTGATCATCTGATATAGACATGCTTGGAGGTCTCAGAAAATATCGAATCTAATGCAGGACTGGTTCACAAAGTAAATTTCACGTGAATCTCAACAAAACAACGCTTGAAAGACTAACATGTTGTTACAGCTAAATTACTAACACATTGATATTTGAATATCTCGACTTAGACTGCCCATCAGCAGCTCATATTTTGGCATTATTAGTTTGACACTGTGGGCAATAGAATGGCCGAAAATCTTTTTAATTTCTCGCTTGACACTACAAACCGTTCCGTTGTCAGTACCGGTACTTGAGTACATATGTACTTATATAACAGTATTATGCAATAATATACTGAAGAGTGATATTGCGTGATAACTGCGTATGAGCATCATTGCTATTGTTTAGATTCATCATATAGTTTTACTTTGTATTGAACTGATATCTATAATAAAATACATGCTAAGATCCATATAATTGAACTATATTGCCAATCGTTGTCAATGAAATGGTTAATTGCCTATCATGATCACTAGGAGTAGTAATGCACACGCGAACATATTTCAGAAAAACACAGATTGTCGGGGCACTATTCGCCTGTTACATAGCATCCCTCAATATTTTTTCTCTTTCTGTCCAGCTGATATATGTCCTCACATGCAGCTGTTATACATATGTTTTCTGGTTCGGTGCAGTTGATATATGTCCTCACTTATCTCTATTCGGGTGCTATATGCCCTCGTTCATCTGCGTATTCAGTTGCACTGAATGTGCAGAGTATGCAACTGCCAGAGATGACGCGATTTAAAATTAGCATAGTAAAATAAGCTATGCATTAATTAATTTAAGAAAGAATCAGTAACAGCTGAAGGTTTCAAGTCAGTTATTTAGCTGAAAGTTACAGAATCAGTCAGCAGGAGTACTCTCAAAAACTCTAAGCAGTGATGTATAATATCAAAAACTTTAAGTTTTTTATTTCTTCCATGTTGCAGAGAGCTCGTATTTCTAGATTTTACCTCCACAGTGCATTTTCACGCTAAATTTATCTAAATTCAAAATCAAATCAACAGATGCTTCCTCGATTGAGTTTTATACAAAAAAATTCAAAATAGTCTCTCACATAGTTATGATCCACAAAACGTAAATGGATAAGAATGTGCAATAAGCGATTTAGAAGATCAGTAGAAAAACCGTCAATTTATTACTATGAATCGATGGTCCAACATAGAATTTCAACATGCAAACAAAAGCATACTATCTGCTAAGCTAAGGCGAAGCATTAATTTTACCGAGAGCATCACAATAGCTTTTTAACATTTGAGAAGTTGAATACGGATGCATTATAGAAATACGACTGTACTAAGCTTCGTGTTCAAACACGAAACAAAAAGAGAGCGAAAGCGCATCATTGCGCAACTGTGAAACTTTAAAAAATAGATGATGAATTTTCAAACACCATGGTGATTGAAAATACACCAGTATCATCTAACATGAAGATTAACATTGTGATTACTTGTTACTCCAGATGTACCAGGGATGATGAGAACAACTGTATCCATAAAACTTATTTTTGCTCCGTAAATCTTAAATGACAGATATTGATGGAATGGCATAGTAGTAACACACCTGTAGTCCTTTATAGTACGGAATGCAGAATGCCGCGCTTGTGAATATGCAGATATTTGGCTGCTGTTACACTATCACTTTTCTGTGATCTTTTTTCAACTTAGTGTGGAAGAACAGATTTATAATAAAGTGTCTTCTTTTGCGTATGTTAAACAGAGAGTAAGATCATATTAGTTTAGTAACACACAAACTGGTACATAGGCGACAAAATACAGATTTTACTTTTGCAGCAAACTGTAAAACTAAACCATGCGCTTTTGACTCATATCTTGTAGACACAGATTGCACAACTTCAATCGTTCTACAGAATATAAGCAGAAAGTGCATGGCTTACTTCTGCAGTTTTCTGCAACGAAGATAAATGTATTTTTCTGTCAGTTATCAGCAGAGCATGATTATAATGTGAGGGTGAAACCAGTTGAATATAGAATTTCCGGTAGTTTGTTAGGAAAATAGAATGAAAGCAGACGTCTAATTTCTTCGATCAGATCACAGACACCATATTTAAGGATATTACACAGCAGCTTCAAAACAAGATAAAGCTTCATAGTTGAAGCCGACGCAAAATTCTGCATTTTCCAACTATAAAAAAATGTGTCAGCGCCAAAAGCATAAAGTCAGTTTTATTTCCGCCAGGTGAAATTACCACAGTCAGCCTCACCGCAACCGTCACCAGTATGAGCAGCTCAACGACGGATAGTTCGCTCTGGAACATGAACGCAACAACTGGTTTTGGTGGTAATGGACAAGGTGCGTCTTCAAATCAGCTTTTCTACCCGTACGATGTTGCGTTCGATAGTAGCTCAAGAATCTATGTGGCAGATTGTTACAACAGTCGAGTCATAAGATTTTCTAGAGAATCGACGAGCGGCATAGTTATTGGCCCCTCAGGGGGCTTTGGCAATGGTTTAAACCAATTGACATATCCAACAGCAATCTTTCTTGACATATTTTTGAACTTTTTATTTTGAGTGAAAACAAGTAGCTACGCACATAAGTACAATATACACTTACTCAACGGTAAAAAGTGCTTCGTTTCATGCGTTTTTCAGCTAGTCATCATCAAGTACCATTGAGGTTTGACTACTGTTCACAAAAAGGTCAGGAACGATCAAAAGCATAGGGCAATGAATATATTTCACGTTTACCCAGCGGACGTTCATGATTAGGAAAATAATGAATAGAACAATGAACAATAGTTTTCAATAATTGCCAATATCGACGTTGAAATGTCTGCATGATAAAGTCTGTCGATAGTTGATTATAATTGTTTTGGGACCATGTGGTTACATGGAAAGAGAATTTTTTTAAATTTGGTAGCCGTGAGGGAAAATCATCTTCAAACGAAATACCATCAAGAAAAGGATAAAATCTTGGTAATCGAAAGCATTCAATATCTAATAACAAATATTCTAAAGAATGTAATGATGCCACTAATTGAGCGATTGTTCGATAACATTTGGTGATCTCGATTAAGGAAGATGAGAAGCGTTTTAAATGTTCGCGCACTTTATCTAAGTATGATGATATTGACGATGATTCGACACGACAACATTCGACAACAAAAGATTCTAATAAGGGTAGCTTTTCCAAGAAAAATAAACAGTCGTTAAACGTTTGCACTTGGAGTCGAAGAGTTATAATCAGAGATGAAATTTGGGCGTGTAGAATAGAATTCGAAAGAGAATATTTACTATCTTTTGATACATTTCTTAACCTCATAGAACTGCTTCTCATCCTTGACATCAATTCGTATTTTACGAATTCGTAAAAATAAAGGCGAATTGATATGACAAGTGTGTGAATCGATGCAAAGAGTCGAATCTATATATTTTCAACCTTGTAGAAAAATTTGTTGGCAACAAAGTGCGAATTGACGAATTCTGTTTACGAATTCGTCGCATACGCTTTGGCATCTACGAACTCGTAAATAGAATTCGTAAAGTCGCAGTTTATGGTGTTTTTGCCAAGTTACGAATTCGTACCGAATTGTTGGAAACCAAAAGGATCATTTCACGAATTCGTGGATGGACGATCAATTCGATTTACGAATTCGTAAGTACTGAAAATTTCTTTCTTACGAATTCGTCCCAGTTTACGAATAGGCAAAAGTAACAAAAGTGCACCTTTTTGGTTCGTTTTTTAACCATTTTTGTTAATTCGCATCGGTTCGCATTGAATTACGAATTTGCTGCGAATTCACAAAACAATGGTAAAATGCGAATTGTGGCATCATTTTTACGCTCAAAAATTACGATTCGTCAGTTCGTCTTTAGACACTTTGTCCACACTAATGAGTTTTTCTAAAAAAGATTTTTATCGTGGATTCATGCTCTTAACAATTACATGGCTCAAACCTTGTTTTGAATGCACATTTTCCAGACAGATCCATCTAAGACCAGAAGGATTTAGGATGCCACGGACATACTCACCTATACAAAAAATAAGGGTGAGTCTATTGCACTCCCGAGAGTGTCACCAAGTCGCTATTCGCACTGTTAATGCTGAAGTGCACAAGTGTCTCTATAGCAGATGCACTCCGACGTCACACCAGTGATCAAGAGTTTATTTCAATAGGCTTCAATGGGACTTAGTGGAACTAGTAGACATGTGCGGTAACCGTAAAAACATGTTATCATTCACAGTGGGCATTTTTTGCTAGAGCAGGCGGACTTTAACTTTATGAGTGAACTAAAATTTCATGAATCATTTTTTTATAGGCTTTTCATGATTCTCTTTCTAATGACATGAGAGTTGGGTTTTGAAAAGGTTTTCTAAGGAGTTTTTTAGAGATCCGATCTTTCGAAAACCCTTCAGAAAACTTTCTCAATATTTAAAAACGATGCCACTGGAAAGAGCATTGTCGAAAACCTATAAGAAACATGTTTCGAGTCGTTCAGGTTACTTTATCTTGA